GGGAGTGGGAGAAGGGGGGAGAGAGAGAAGGGGGGGAGAGAACACTATGATCCTGGTGAGAAACATTCCGACTGGAGGAGAGAGCAGAGGGATATAACTTCTTGTACTTTTGGGTGTGTGTCTTGGTGTACGTTCCAGGTGGGGGAGATAATGGTGGTGGCTTGTGGTGGATGTTCCAGAGGGAGGCGTGGGACAAGGCGGGTCGTAGTGCACTGTGTCCTGCTCAGTTCACTGACATCATTGGTTGCCAGGAGGTGGGCAGGACGCCGCTCTGCTCCTGGCAACCAATTACATCAGTGAGCTGGGCAGAACACTGACAGAGCATTACAAGTTGCTGTGACGCTTTGGCCGGAAGAGGGGCGGCAGGTATCCCTCCTTCATGTGACCCAGTAAGATGCCGCCTGAGGTGACTGCCTTATTATAGGGACGGCCCTGTTTCCAGCTATCTGGAAGTCACCTTAGAACAAGACTACAGAACACCTCGCACTATGTTATGTAGATTATTGTGTAGTCGTGTCCTAAGACGACAATGCACTAGAGTGCCTGAGCGTTATCACAGTACAAGAGGAAGTGTATCACAGGCAGGATCACCAGGAGAAGAAAACGAAAGGACTGAAGACATGCGATATATATTCCGTGTTTTGTTTTTTGGGATTTTTCGACACTTTAGGGCTATAAATAGAATAGTTTTATTGCACATTGATGTACATTAAGCTAATTACAACGCAGCCATTCCTCATCACAAGCACCTTGCACGGCACCCGCGCCGATCGATGGGAGTGCCGATAACATTAGTGTGGACACCAGAGGGCAGACGGATGGGGGAGTCTTATCTGTCTCCTCAGTCACCGCCGGCCGATAATCCACTTTATCTAACACTCGCCTAATCTATACCACCCGCTGAATGCAGCGATGAGATTACATTCCTACACGCGTGTGCGGCGCCCCTCTCCATTACCGCTATTTATAGATTGTTTTTCCAAAGCAATAAATAAATAAAATAAAAGAAGTGCTTAAGAGGATGCGGCCGTTCCCCAGCGGTTTCCATGGCAGCACTTTACATGGGATGCAGGCTCATTGTTTTGGGAGACGAGGGGCCCTTGTCAGCGCTGCACCTTTTGTAATGAAGACGGTGTCACATCATGAAGTACTGAGAGACTTTAGAGGAGTCATAAGACATGTTTCTTTTGTGTTGTACAGATGCGGGTACTTAGAGGAGTATCAAGACTCTCATGTTTTCCTGCAGTACAGAGAGAGAGAGGGGCTTAGAGGAGTCATAAGACTGATATTTTACTTGTGTGGTGCATACATAGGTAGTAAAGGAAAATCTCCTATTGGGGACACCTGTTCCTAGGGCAGAGGGGATTTCTCTTTATTTCCTGTTCTCTGGGACAAGAAGTGAAGGACAATCTATCCAATGAGGAACAAAAGAAACAAAACCAGAATAACCAAACCGGGGTACCAGAAGACAATTCTGTATTTAATGTACAGGTGAAACTCGAATAATTAGAATATCGTGCAAAGTTCATTTATTTCACTAATGCAACTTAAAAGGTGAAACTAATATATGAGATAGACTCATTACACGCAAAGCAAGATAGTTCAAGCCGTGATTTGTCATCATTGTGATGATTATGGCTTACAGCTCATGAAAACCCCAAGAACCCCAAATCCACAACCTCAAAAAAGTAGATTATTACATGCAATCAATAAAACAAGGATTGTACATAGAACAATATCGGACCTCTGAAAAGTACAAGCATGCATATGTACTCAGTACTTGGTTTGGGCCCCTTTTGCAGCACTTACTGCAATTACTTTTGCACGATATTCTAATTATTCGAGTTTCACCTGTAGATGGTCTGGAAGGTATTACACTTTCATCTCTTAAAGGAAGAACCAATCAATGATAGACACAATGGGGGGAATTTATCAGAACCGGAGCAGACAGAATCTGGAGCCGTTCCCCACGACAACCAATCAGCTTCTCTCTGTTTGTTCAGTTAAGCTTTAAAAATGAAAGCTTGAAACTGATTGGTTGTACAGGTTGTTGTGTCGCTTCCATCTGTTCTTGGTACGGAAGAGTAAAAAAAACCCCAATAAAAGTCAGTTAAATAAAACAAAAACTGACGGATTTTAACATTTCCTCAATTTATCCAAAACTGCTGCCTGTCTTGCTTCTGGAACTCGGCCTTTCCCAACCAGGGTGCCTTCTGACACCTATAGGGGTGCCACAGTGTCATAGCTTTCCATGGTGCAGAAGGGCTCTTGTTGTGAAGGGATGGGCTCCTGTTGTGGAGGCGGGGTTGGTGTTGTGAAGGGAGGGGCTCCTCTTGTGGAAGGGGGGCACTTGATTTGAAGAGGAACTCTGATGTAGAGGGGAAGCTTCTTATGTAAAGTGGGAACGTCTCATGTGAATGGGGCTCCTGATGTAAAGGGGGAACTCTGATCTGAAAGAGGGTCTCTAAGGAGGGTGGGGTAATTCTGATGTCAAGAGAGCCCTTGATGTGAAAGGAGGGGGCTCCTGATTGTAGGGGGGCATCTAAATGAAAGGGGCGGACTCTGGTGTGAAGGGGGAACCCCATATTTTGCTGTGTTGTAGCATGGTGCCTGCCCATAAAACCTATATCGGACCCCGTCTGGTATAAGGGTCTGGTATGGCCCTTGGAGGAGCTGAAAGTCGTTTTTCAGTCTGGGTGCCTGGAGATTTTGCGTACTTTTAAAGGGTGAATGAAAATAAGTTGAGAATTGCTGGTCTAGCATGTCCCCCGGCTGTTTCGAGGTCCCTCCCTATCTTCTGTCACCCCAAAATGAATAGCACCTGAAGACTGAGAATGTCCCTAGTAACAATTTATAACTCATTACAGAGGATCGGACCCGTCTTCTGCCTCATACTATCTCCCTGATGTTGTTAGTATTATTGGTCGTCCATCGGGGTCCGCACAGCAGTCTCAGCAGCGTGGCTCTCCAGTACTGGAAATCAATAGTCTGTACGTTCTGTACACTGTGGGGCCCGGACAGATCCCAGGAGCCAATTAGACCGCCAATGTGTCCAGCAACTACAGCTGCTTAACTGTTCCTTTCATTGTCAGCGGAGGTTCCTGCTGTCTGGCGGTAACAAGGAAACTCCGCTCACCAACAATCCTTCACAATCATTAGAAGGTTTTCAGCAGCTTTTATCCTAGACGCTGACCTGCTTCTATCTTACAGATACTGGGATAAGCCATGCTGGTGCATGTGATGCCAGTGGGTGCTAAGTAGGCGGGTCTGCCTCCTTTAGGCACATAAGCAGCCCCAGTGTTTGTATAAGAAGAAAAAGTGTTTTCATTGGTAGCCTTCGGTGGTAGGAAGTCCTCTATGGTGACCTGCGTGCTCCTCGCTCACACTTTGTTGTGTTTCCCTCTGTAGGTCCTCCACTACCTGGCAGTACAGAAGCCAGCAGACCTGACCCGCCATCTTGTGCCGTGCATCATTCACGCCGCTCTTCTCAAGGTGAAAGAGGAAGGTACGTATCCTCCAGAGCTTGTATCATAGACACTTCCTGGTCATGTCCACATCTGAAACCTTCTACATGGATGGCAGGCAACAACTAAAACCGTATTCCCGGCAGTTTCTGATTCGTTGACTCTTCCCTGTAATAGTTTTATTTCCTGTTGATCCCGCCAGGAGATCTTGTTTTTTTTCACATTCGGTAACAGTGAGACAACGCTGGTTATCCTATAATGAAATCGCTGTAGTGTTGCCACCCTGTGCAGAGGGTAGTCTTGGGTAGGCAACCTCGCCACTCCAACTGTGGTAATACTACAAGTCCCATGAGGCATTGCAAACCTCTTATCAGCTTCAGGCATGACTTTCAGGGGCAGAGGCGTGACGGAATTTGTAGTTTCACCAGAGCTGGAGTGCCGAGGTTGCCTACCCCCGATCTAAGACTAACATGGTAAATGGATTCGATGCAAGTAACAAACAAGTTCAAGTCCAGCTCCGGACAACTTGTTTTGAACAGGTAAAGGTTTTTTCTTGGAAAGCACACAAATAACAGTGGAATGCTATGAGCCCTCCGACAGTGTGATATGGTTTGTCCCAAACGCTGTACCTGTCACATTCGGTGTTCATGTAAATGTGGAGACCTGTGAGGTAAAAAGAAAGAGGTTCATGTACGAAATACGATCATCAGACGCATTAACCCCTCAGTTACCAAAATCCAATACGTTTTTTGCTATAGTGATCCTATAACCACTT